TTAGCAACTATAACTGGTCATACACAGGTAGTGACAATGCTCCTTGAAAAAGGAGCAGATGTCACTGCCTCTGATAATGTAAGTATAATCATTAATTATACTCCAATAGTGATTGTACATGTATATCAATTTGAGTGGGTGGATCAAAGTAACCGCAGGTGCTGTATATCTCATACAGTGTGTGTACATGTACATGTATAGCTTAATGTACTCTACTGTATCACTTTATGGAAAGCATTTTTTTTATAATAATAATTTTACGTCAATAATATATTATTTTAGTAAAGCGAAAAATTTTGTGGGCTGAAATTTTTTAAATGTAATATTAAAAATTTAGTAAGAAATATTTTTAAAAAATGAAATTTTGGAATTTATTTTTGAGTGCTGATTCTCATAAATTTTGAGTACAGAAAAATTTTGAATTTTTGATGGTAATGACCTTTTGATTTTTAATTTTTAAAATTTTGAAAACTAAAAAAATAGAAATTCTCAATAATTTTGAATAAAGTATCAAAAGAAATTTTTGTAAATTGTTAACAATTTGTATGAAACATTTACTTTGTGTAGCGTTTTTCAAAATTTAAAGTTTCAGAACAATTACATTTCTACATGGTAATACTTTATAATGTTACATGAATAATAGTATAATAATGTCAGATAGACTTACAAGAGGCCAGTGGGCATTGACATTTTCTTTGGTATGGAGGACATACTTAGAATGTAGTTATACTGTGCATGAATATATAATGTGATCCACCCACTCAAATTAATGTAATTATATCACTTACCTGCTGGGGCAGTATCTGATTTACAGACACCTCCCACTAGGACACTATGGTCCCTTGTGGTCAGTGTCTGTATTGACATCAACTTAAAGTTTTGTATTAAATGAATTACATGCCTTGATCAAGGATTAAAATTTGAGCACCTTATAAATTTTTATCCCAGGCATGAAGGTTTCTCAATCTACATGTATAGTAACTGTGTTTATGGCTATAACCAAGAACATTTTATTGATACTGCAACAGTGTAATTATACATGTACATGTACATGTAAACTAGTAGTATTGTACATGTAATTATTTATATCAGTAAAATGTATACTTGTACACTAAATGTACCTCCACTGTCTCTAACATACTCAATACTATGGAGTATTGAAGACAGACCAACAATTAAAGTTGGTTTTTAGTTTGATTGTGATAACATTGTACTATCATGTTAATCAATGTTTACCTTGTATAGTGGGGTAAGACTGCTCTAGATCATGCTGAACAAAAAGGTCATAGTGCCACTGCCACAATACTGAGAATACACTCAGGTAATGTATTTATTAGTTTATTGAACTGAAATTATTATACTGTATGTAGTACTGTATTGTTAGTAAATTTTATGAAACAGCTTGAGTCATCAGCTACAGCTTCCTCCCTTATCACGTGTAAAATTAATTTAAATAATAAAAATGTGTCACATGATTATCTGTTGTCCATTTCTTCCCTATTAGCTTCTTCTATGAATTAAATTGTGCATGAGTTATGTAGCAATAGCTTATATAATGTGTATATTAATGCATGGTAGTTGTATCCCACTATTAGGTTACTATTGTTCCTCTTATGTACTCTTATGCATGTACAGTACAGTCCCTCACAGCTGATATGAGCCATACTGATGTACACAGTACACTTGGTATGTGTACTGGTATGTACTTGTATGTATTGGTAAACTTTGTTTCATTTCTCAAAAACATGTACATGTACAAAACTATGTCATACCCATTACATGTACATACATGTGTCTTATTGGTAGGTTGTTGCTCATAATAATGACACATTTAACTTAATTTCTATAGAATTAGTTAAGTACATGTATTGTGAGACTATTCCTGGTCTACATGTACATGTACGTATGATAAACTGGAGAATAAAAAGTG